GGGAGGGAAATTTCCTGATAGTCCTGAGACCATCTAGATCATCACATTCAGGACAAAGGAACTTGTGTTTTAGAAGCAGCTCAAAAATAAACACCCAACAATCAAAAGTCATTTTAGTAATAAATTGCTAATAAACCAGAGCTACTTTAAAGTTTAAAATGATAAAACATTTGCTGTCCATCTTAAGAACTTTGAAGAACGAGGAATGACTGTTGCCTGGGGACGGTAGAGGTCAGTGGCAGCAGTAGGGAAACCTTGACAACATTTCATAAGGCTTCAGGTTCTCTGCTCCCATGCACCTGAATCCAAGTACACAGTTCAAATGACCACAGCTCCTGGCGCGTGCCGGCCAGCTGCTAGTCAGGCCAATGAAGTGCTGCTGTACTATGACTGTGAAGTTCATCCACTTCACGGAGAACCTGCTCTGCCAGAATTGATGCCCACTCAGTTCCTGTCTCTTTCAGGAGCTCCAGAACACTCCACCCAGGTGGAGGCTGTTAACAGGTCAGTGTTCTTGATTGAGCAGTCAGCCAGAATGATTTAATGACTATTAAGGTGTGGGCCAGCACGACACTGGGTGGTATAGACACAAAGAGCAACTCCTTCATGTATTATAGTGCTTCGGGATTTGAGGGGAAAGCTGACTAGAGAGAAGCAAAGGCCACTCTTACTGGGGTGTCTACAAACTTCAGTGAAAGCTGTCTTCAAGTGGGTTCAGTGACTCAGGAGGATAGGCAGGTGGATTGCAAGCTCAAGGTCAGCCTGTCTCAAAATAAATGAAAGGACTGGGAATGTAGCTCAGTGGTAGAGTGCTCTTGGGTTCAACCCCAAGCATGAAGACATAAACAGCTGACTTTTCCTTTGGGATGTACCTGTATTAAATCTCTCAGCCCTTGAAGCCCCCTTTGTAAAGGTAGAAACTTCCTGGTAAGGCCAGCATTGTCATTGGTCTCTGCTGCCATCTCTGCCCAATGTCTTCCTTTGCTTGTGTGTCCTCCTCCGAGGGGAGACTTCCTACTTGTCTGTGCCCAGGCAAATCCAAGCTCACCCAAAGCTAGGTGGCCCCACTTCTTCAGTTATCAGGAACACTTTCTTCATAACTATAAGCATTTATAATGTGACCCATTTCACATGTCCCAGCCCCTCTGCTTCCACCACGTATCTCAAATGTCACAGTTCAAAAAAGACCATCTCCTGGTGCACACACACAGTGGCAGTCTCATTTTCTCCACACACAAAGCATAGTCTTATTCAAGTGTATGCTTTGTCCCTGGTAGTGGTTAGGGCTTGTCCTTTCAGGTCTGAGAGCTTGCATGTGACCTGCTTTGAACAATGAAAATTTGAGTAGGGAACAGCAAATCTAAGTGTTGGTAAGATCTCAGTGTTTTGAGTGAGACATACATGTTCCGGGGACAGCTAGGATACTAGTGAGGTTAAAGAGTAAGGGAGATGAGTCAAAGAAATCACAGAAACCAGGTCTCATGTGGGGTGCTTTGTAAGCTACTACAAGGACCTGGGATTTCTGAGTGAAATGGTAGCCAGTGCAGGGGTCCGAAAAGAAGAGTGACATGATCCAAGGAGGGTAAAGGAGGATGCGGGGAGTCACTGGGGAAGAAGAGAAGGCAACTTTTAATGTGACCCTTCCAACCTTCACTGCAAAAGGATATTTAAAGTTTTCCAGATCAATCAATCATGAGGGCAGGGCTAGAACCACTGCTTCATAGAACTTGGGGAACTGATAACAAAATCTATATCCTTATCTTAAACCTCATTTCAATTCCTTTCCTAATCAAACAGTGATGGTTGACAGCTGATATTGCACCATCCCTTCATCCCCCTAATTCAGACCCTTTGAAGGGTCTAAGAAAGCCATAATGGTGGGAGGAAAGGAGACATGACTACTGCACCGACCAGTAACACAACAGTGATTCCTATAAAACATAAGGATGCTATATGGTGCCTACATATCACTTTGAATTTCAGAAAAATAGAATTTTCTTTAACTTTAAAGTACAATCATTTTTTTACATGAAGTACTCAAATTTTTATACCTGAACAATTGATTTCTGAAAAAGTGACATTCATTCTATAAATTAAAGTATCAAGAAAATTCCCACAGATTCACAGAACCAATCATGTGATCTTCAAAAATTGCTACTCCATTCTTCCTTATCTCAAGTTATGAAGACTTGCCCACAGGAAGTTTCTTTGTTGGAACCCTGCTCCTCTTGGGATGAAGTGTTTAAGGATATTGTGGTCTTGTCAGATGCCATATCCATCTGGTCCTGAAGCAGGAAAAACTCTCTGAAGGTTAAGGTGAACTAGTAACACTACTGACAGTCACTGTGGAGTTGACTTTGAACATGGATATTTATACATGTACATGTAAATATACTTAAAACCATACTGTCATTCAACAGTTGGGCCAATATATAACATGTTGCAAAAATCAGGCTAGAGTACATGGCAAACAAACCTTTACAGTATGAAAGGATGAAGCATTTGATGATTCTGGACTTTTCTGTAGTCTGGGAACCTATATATTTAAAACAAAACCAAAGGAAACAAAACAAAATAAGAAAACATTCTGTAAACTTCCTGTGATTTAGGCACAAAAGCAGTTTCATTGCCTTTATTAAATGCTAAGACCACTTTTATTAAGGATTGTTGCAGTAGGGTATTTGTTGAAATATATCAAGAAATGTGGTTGTATAAAGTAAATTTACATGGATTATATGGATGTTTACTTGCTATGCCTAATGACAAGAAGTCATTTCCTATATGCCTCTATAATATTTACTCACTAGAAAATTTTGTTAGGAATGGAAACTTATTAGTTAAAAAGTTTTCAATATTGTAAATAATTGAGAATAACTGTTATAAGATGAATCTTTGCAAAAATATTTTCATTACACAGAATCAAATACACATTTAAAATTGTTATAATGAGAATTAGACAATCCATGGATGATTTCAGTACACTAATGGAAGGTACACATATGACCTTGCTGACCCAGAACAGTCACAAATTCTTCTGAGTAAACCCTGGATTTTTAAATACTACATAATTTAAGTCAGTTGTTACCAAGACAAATATAAATAGCAAAATATAATAATAATAAATCTTCAGAAAGGCTACAGCATGGCCCATAGCTTAAGTCAGAGTTTGACACCTGGAACAAAGAGCCCTCAGCCAGCTTTGCAAGGACTACATTTAAAGAACAATTATTTTCACATAATTCCTCAGTGCTGCCTCATATCATAGACTGAATTGGATCCATATATCTCTACGTTCCAATAAAATATTAGAAAGGAACATTCCAGTTACCTCACTTAATTATGCAATTCAAAGTAAGTTCTTGAAATTACTTTCCTATCCAATCTTTATTGTTATAATCCTGCTCTGAACATTTAAATTAAGTAATCGTTTCCTTTCATAGTCACTACTGGATAACATTTCGCACACTGATTTAAGCAGCATGTTGACCTAATTTAGCATTGCATATTATCAAATTTCATGTTTTCAAATAAATAAATATATGTAGTATAATATAGTGAGAGAGACAGTATTTTTCTTCAGATCTGTCATCTGATTCTTAGGGGACACTCTTATAGATAAAACTTCCAGTTTTATAGATCAAAAATGGCTAGATATTGGGAATTGTCTTTGGAAAATTTTTCGGGGGGTGGAGGGATTTTTATTGTGTAACTATAAGAAAAGCCATAGGGGATGCTTTGGTCTGGAAGAATCATGCCTATTCCTAACCTACAGTAGAGAATGACACACATCCACTTTTTAGGTAACAATACAATTATTAACATGAAATACAATTCTATGAAAAGCTTTTAGGATACTCTAAATCACCTTATACAGGATATCAGAACCAATAAATATGAATCTTATGCAGATAAAAGGCAGCCAGTGAAACAAAATCTTTTATCAGTATTTGGTCAAGTGGTTAGTTTTGTGGTAAATTAAGTATGTTCTACAGAGGGCATACAAACCAAGTTTTCTAGGATAGTTCATCGAAGAATGAAGTTTTCAACTAGAATCAAATTTGATTTGATGGGAAGGTCAATCTAAGCTTTTAAGCAAGAACATGGAGAAACAATTAGTTATTTACAATTAGAAAACAAATGAGTTTTTCAATAATGGATTAAGAGAAAACATAACTGAAACAGACAAAAAACAAAATAGCTCCAACACTTAAAATTACAACTCTCCCTGTAAAAACTCCTGACACAAAAATCATAAACAAAACTGCAGAATACAAGAGGTACCAATTACAACAACAAATCCTTATTTGTCTCAACTTTAATGAGTTATAAGTCTTGCTATCTTTGGTTATTATTCCTGATTATTGTTTTCATTATACATTTTACAATAAACAAAATGAGCTCTTGCAGCTCATTGAATTTCACTTTTATCACCAGTTCAATTCTTAGATGTCTCTAATTATGGAAGTGAAGATCAGGCTTAACTAAAACCTATAAGTCACTTTCAGATGTGGATGAACAAAAGACAGATGTTAGTAGAGGCAGAAAACACCTCCCTTCTGCACTCTAACCATACACGAATTTAAGTGCTATTATATAAGCAGGCACTACATCTTGGATATTAGGTGAGGAAGACCTTTCCCAGGCCATTCCCAATTTTCTGTCTCAACTCTTCAAGGAAGTAAGAAATATATCATGTGCTAGAAGTCAGGCATAAAAATATTCTTGCCTAAAAGGAACAATTACTGGCTTCTTTATCTCTGGAATGTTTTAATGACAATAACCATCAACCCAAACTTTCTGGCTTTCAGTAATCTTCCTAAATTAGGAATAAACAAGTCTAGTTCACGTTTTGAATATCAGATTTATCGTTTTGGCAAATTTACCCAGTTGAAAAAAAAAATCCTCTTAAAACCTTCCAATAATTACTTTCAAAATTTCCAGGTTTCTCAGTTAAACAAAAATGCTGCTTAGGATATTAAACAATCATAAATACACACATATTATGCAATTGCCTGTTTATTTAGTGGCACCAGTTTTGCAAACTAGAAATTATTTCTACTTTTCATCTCACATACAATCTGCAACCATTCATAGGCTGAATGCAATTTCTTCAAAGGACTTGAAAACAAAAGTACATTCTTAAAGTTAAAACTGAATTCACATATTTCTTTGGATCAGAAAATGATACATCATACAATATACACATTTATGGAATTTTTTCTTTGAAAGTTTGGATCACATAACCTGCAAAGTGGATGAGTTAATGTGGAGAATTTTGCTACACATTGTGTTTAAGAAAATTTCTGCAGTTAGTTGTCATAGTCTTATATTTGGAGATTTTTAAACAATTAATCTATATATAATGCAACATGCTTTTAACATGTACATGTCTCCCCACTCAAAACAATTATACAGTGAAGTGAAATTATTTCAGTTGTGAAACAGATCAGTACTGGGGTATTGTCACTAAAAGATGATATTTTCCTACAGATATGTTGTGTTCAGTTAGTCAGGGACCAACTAGGTAAGATAATAGTTACTACATTTCAAAAGTCCCCAAAATGCTAGGGCTATAGCTCAGTGGTAGACCACTTGCCTGTCATATACAAGGCCCTGGGTTCGATCCCTAGCCTTGTCAAAGGGGGAGGGGAAATTCCAAAAATGGACAATAAAAACTATAACTGAACATTCAATTTTTCAACAACTGTCAACAATTTCATAAAATTTTTTATTGTAATTATTTTTAAAAAATCTTATTAATGCTATACATTGGTGGCTATTCATGTTAGATCCTGTTTTTAACATTTTGTATTAAGTCCTTAATTCCTTAGAATCTGAAATGAATTTAACATTTAATGAACTCTAATGCAAGAAAAATCTAATCTTAAAACCTGAGTAAGATATGACAGCTCTTGTGTTGTTAATATATTATAGCTGCACTGGGGAGGTTCAGAAAACTTTAGATATACTCAATTTCCATTTTACCTTTCTGTTGAATTTCAAAAGTGGCAAATCTTAGCGATATTATCCTCAAAAATAATCCAAATGTGATTTTTTTCATCTCTATAAATTCATTTCGCTAAAAGTCTTTCAATATCAGATTCAAACCATGCCCCATCCACCTATTTGCTATTTTCAAAAGTAAAACAATTCCTTAAAATAGACTCAAGTTATATTTACATCCTTGGAGAAAAAATGATGTCCTATTATTCTGTAATTTGGAATCTTAATTGGGGTTGAGGGGTAATGAACCACTGCAACATTACAATTTTTAGGGAGTTTCCCCATGATTCATCTGTCTCAAAGGGACAACAACTCCCAAAAAGTTAAGAACCATTACTAAAATGAATTTCTGTCACTCATTGTACCGAGTTAGGACAGTACTAATTCTGTAACTACTCAATCTTACACATAATCTAGCTTACTTCAGAAAGTACCATACAAATGCAAATATACCTAAACACTTTTTTACTAGGAGGAATATGTAAAAGGAAAAGAAAAATTTTCTAAACATTTAATGAAAAACCCATTAGTAGAAAACTGGTTTTAGGAACAATGAAAAGAACTGAAGGGCTGTTTTAAGGTAAAGAAATACTACATGTTATTCTATGTTAAAGAATTAGCAACTTTTGCCTTCATCTTCCTTTAAAAAGTCAAAATTATTCTAGCAGTGAAAGGTGATTCTTGGTGGCTTATGTGGCATAATAGTTTTTTTGTTTGTTTTTTTTAAACATCTACAGCCAGGTCAAGGTTCCTACCACTCTATCCCAAGTTTTCTTATTTTCAACCCAGTTTAATAAAGTACTAATTGGCCTTAATGAGGTAATGAGTTTAAACTTTCTTGTTCAAGAAAATGGAATTGGCCTATTTGGATGAGGGCAGGGAAAAAAGGGGGTGGTGGTGGTGGTAGTGAGAGAGAGACACATACAGACAGACACACTGAGAGGAAATGAGGGCAATATTTTCATGCAGGATAAGAAAAAATGTCACTTTTTTATTAACTTAAACAACCTTTCCCCCCCTCTCATAAAAGTGTAAGCTGTCAACTGCAATCTGAATCTGAGTTTTTCTAATTAGCACCCCCACCCACTAGTTAATATAAATAGGAAACCGTGAGAGCAGAGGCCACTAGCTTAATATATAAAATAGATTAAAGGAAGAGTTTGTATTGAGGTGAACAAAAGTGGAAAATGCTCACTTGACAATAAAGCAGAGCCAATGCCTCTCCTTATTTCTGAAGAGCTTCTTAACAGTAATAACTAACACTTAGCTGATGTATTTTTTGACCAAATAATACAGTATCATACCTTTAGGAAATGTGTTCTTAAATATTTCAAGCATACTCTCTGAATATATAATTTAAAAACAAACACTAACCAAAACACATGGCACATTATTTAAGGAAATAAAGTAAAATTAGGCTTCTAAAATTTTAAAACATGAAGTAGACTTCCTGATGCCTAAAAACTGTGAGTAGTCAATTAAAAAATGGCCAACTCATCAGCAGTATTTATAAGCAAAAGTATATGAAACTCCCTAAGATCCCTTCAAAGAATATTTATATACTGAAATGTTTACTTATCCTTTCTAGTACCAAATCCTAATACAATACTAAAATAAAAAGTTAAGCTAAAAGTATATGCCATGAAATTCAAAATTAAAATAAAACTAGAAGGAAATTAGTACCCAATTTCATCAGTTCTTTCAGAAATCACACATTGAATTCCCAGATGAATTTGTCCAGTAAAGATGGTTAGTGATTTTAAAATATTCAAATACATGGTAATCATTTGGCTAAAATGTGGTATTAACACGGGCACTATGTTATTAAAAGAAAGAACACAAAAAAGTTTTACTTAAAAAGATCAATTCAGCTAGAGATACTTATTTTTTTAAATGCCCTCACTCAAATCCCACCTGTATTCTCAGGATTGGAAAATTCTAAGAAATCTATGACTTATTTCTGACTTGCTGCTGCCAACAGGATAAGTGAAGGTCATTTGTTATAGACAATCAAGAATGCTTAAATAGACTTAAGCCTTGCTTCATCAGTCCAATTTTACTCTTATTCGGAGCTAAATTTTCTTTTAAGATTTTTAACTTTGTGGAGGAGAAAAGAAACAATAGTTTTCAGGTGAATAAAAGCAACAAAATGAGCCCTTTAGGGCAGAAGCATACCTTTTGCTCAGTAAAGTACCTGACAAACAGAATGTGGGCAAAATATATATATATATTTTTTTTTTTTTTGATGAGTGATCCAGTTATAATACTAACATATTTTAGGTTATTAATTTTGCCCAAATGCAAACTCCTCGAAGATAATGACCCATTCAATCTATTTACAGTCCTAAGGAATTTAACCTAGATCAGTGTTTTGTAGATAACAGTTTGTGGAAAAACTGAGTTATTAGCAGGATTAATATATGGTCAAATGTATGACCATTATAATTTGGATTATTTGAATTATATAACTGATTTATTCTCTAATCCAAATTTCTTAATGTTAAGACGTTTGCATAAAAATTAAGCTGGAACAATTGCATAGTTCTCTAGAAATAAATTGTTACAATTAAAAATGTTTGAGGATAGTTCTAAAACTGAATAAGAAAAATACCACTTTGATTTAATTTTTAAAAGATAATACTGAGAACTGCTTCTGTTATCTGTAAAAGTATATTCCTAAAGAAGGTGAAAATTAGGGAGATCTTGTTAAAATAATAAGAATTAGATAAGTGAAATATTTTAATGTTAGATAGTAAGAATCTGGCTATACAAAACTGAATTTCTGGTTAACAGCAGTAAACTGGGTTTATCATAATATGATATCTAAATGAAAGTTTAATCTTAATAAATCTATATATCCTCAGATAAGAACCCCCCCCCCCAAAAAAAAAACATAGAATACACCAAAAATTCTGAGGCAATGCCCTGAGATGCTAATTAGTATTAAAAAACAGTGGGGGCTGAGAATTCAAGAGGTACAAAAATGAAGTGCACAAAAGAGGTGCAAAAATGCCTTTTAAATGTGGTTGTTTCTCACCATGACCATTACCCCTAGGAGTCAAGCAGTCTGCTATTACAATGTATAGTTCCTTTCTGTATTTTTAAAATGAAGTTATATTTTGTACGGCAGTGTTGACTCATGTGGAAAAGATTTAGTCTTCTTAAATCACATTTAAACACAGTCTTCTCACATTTCCAGCCAATTTCAATACTAAAAACTTTAACAGAGGAGTATCTTAATTTTCTCTTTTGTTTAAAAGACTCTCAAAAAAAAAAAAAGGTTATAATATGCTATGATATGCTATGCTATGCTATACTATGCTATTATGGTTTGAAATATAGCTTCCCATCACGTGTTTTACTTATGGTTCAAGTTTTGCATCTCAAAAGATACCACAATCCAGTTAAATATTTTGCAAATTATGAAACTAAAACCTTTTGGTTATTTATTAAAAAGTTAAGGAACTGGTTTGTTGTAATAGGGATTTAGCTTTCAGTACTGGCATGTTTGGTAATCAAATCCTCACTAGAAGCACTGGTATTCATTAAGTGCAAATTTAAATGCTTGCAAAGTTATAACTTAGAACATTATCATACTTCGCACTTTACCACAGATTTAGACATTAAGCATTTATTGTAAGTTAAGTAAGGAATTGGTTCTGTAATTCCACTTTTCTGAATTTCTAAATATAAATAGTACTTCAGTTTTTCTTCATTCATGCTGGATTAAGAGATAAATTAAATACAATTAAATTACATTTAATCACCTCACAAATAAGAGGGATATTGAAAAGAGTTTGCTGGTATGTAACTACTTAAATCTGAGACATTTTACATTACTTTTCCTAGTAGGTTCCCTAACTTTACATTAGTTTTAAGGCTATATATACAAATATGTATATTTCCAAGTTAGGGAAAACAAACAAAACAAAATGTATTATACTAGCTTTATACACAAAATTCTGATTTTGTATTTAATGCTGTATTTTAATCTTACATTTTAGTAGTTTTCTAGTGGGGAATCTGCTTACTAACTGATTCATTTACATGATAATAAATACAATATTCAACCTAGAAAGACAAAAATACAAAAGGGCACAGAACAGTAGTCTTTTTAATGTGACAGATTGTAAAACTTACTTTCACATGCTTAATCAGAAAAATGTAAGCCTAAATTAAATTAGGTATGTTTATATCTACAATTCCTTAAGCTTTGAAATTTATTTTTAAAGGCCAACAGCTAAATATTATCAACATGCTATATTTCAAATCACAAATACATCTTAACCACTTGGATTCTAAAGACATGGGCCAATTAAAAGTCACAGGCAAACACACACAAACACACACATACCTACCATAGAGTGTTAGATTGTCAAACTTTGACAATTATTTAATTAAACAGTAGGCAAAATCAAGCTGATGTACATCTTAATGAAAAGTAAGCAGCCTGAAAGAAACTTATTTTGAAAAACAAATTAAGGAACAAGAGAGACTTAAATCTTTTAAGTTTTTCTAATGGAAGGAAAACAATTTCATCGGTGACTAAAACAGTATTGTCAAATTAAAAGAGACTAACATCTTTCCCTTTGAGAACATCTCATTTACAATGGTATGGTGTTTTAAAAGGCCGGGGTAAAAGAGGAATTACACATACATGATTAAATTTCTTGTTTGTTAAATCAAGCTTTATTGATAAAATGGAATTCAGAATATCTTACTAGGAACAGCAGCAGGCCCAGCCAATCATGATAGCAAAAATGTGGCAGTCTCCTACTATATGTAGGAAGCTGCTGCTTATCAATTAGTAATTAAATGTAAGGACTTGTAAAAGAGGTGCAAAGAATCAAGGCATTTTAGCCCCAAGATTGATATTCTTATGAATATACTGTATTACCTGCAATACTCATAGCGGGGGAGAGAACATCCTGAAACACAGTTAAATAAAGAGAGTGGCTTTATCAACAATGCCAATCCCTTGCCAAGAACATTAAGATAGTTTTCCATCACTCCTGGGATATTCAGTTTTTTAAGATTTTGAAATTCTTCTCCATAATCATGTGCATGTTTGAGCACCTAGCTGACATGGCTGCTGCTCTCCCTGTCCCAACCCCAAATCCAATATAACATGACTTGAAAGGGCTATATATCTGTTGCATCACACAACAAGCCAAACATTTCTTGTATCTTCAATAGTGATTTTAAAGCAGTTCATAATTAAATATGAGCATTTTGTACAAGGACAATTACACTTTACAAAAAAAAAAATCATACAACAAAAATTGCTGGAGTCTGATTTACAACATGAATTATGGTTTGAAATCACGTTTACATAAGTCTCAAATTTACAAAAAAAAAAGAAAAGAAAATCAGTTCTGGGCTAGCTGTTGTACTGCTGAAGTTCTCTGGTGTAATCACTCTCACCCATGTCATATCCCCTTCCTTAAGTTGAGGCTGGATGCTAAAAGGTTCAACAAAGTTGAGTTGCACTCTCCTTTGGAAGTGAAGGTAAACTCCATGGCTAGATGAGCAGTTTTACCACATGTCATCAGTTGATGCTGAGTCCTTTATAAAAGGAAACAAAACAAGGTACTAAATAAAAGCTTAAAGATGCCAAAGTTTTTACTACATCTGGAAGTGCAAGAAAGATAAGGTTTTGTAAAGCTGTCTTTTAGAACATCATTTTAAAAGTATGTAAGTGTGTATATGAAATATGAATATTTATTTTGTTCCAAGAATTAATCTTCCATTTTATTTCAGAAAAATATTTGGAATGATTTTACTGTGAGGTTGACCAAATGTGTACTAAATCAATACAACTATATAAAAAAGGACTCTTTTCTTTGATAAGATCCAATCTTTTTTTAACACTGCTTTTATAAACTTTTATTACATTATAAGAGATTAAGACCTCAAATAATATGAGGTTTTAGCAAGCTTCATAATGTAATACATAAACTATTTCAGAGCTGTGTCCAAATGATTTCAAGTTATCATATTCCTATAAACATCATATTATAACAGAATTGCATTAAAAACTTAATTGGAGAATATGGCATTCTAATGTTTGTTTATAGAAACAGAATTCTCTAATATTTAAATGAAGAACATACTTCAGAATTTCAGACAAAAGTATTTCCATACATAAAAACTATTTAGTAGAACATTCTGAAGTTCTGTCATAGCTATAACTCAGATGAGTTCAAGATTCTGAGTAGAAATATTATCCCAATTATAAATTAAAATTTGGTGGAGGCAAACCTTCTGAAGTTGACTGTAGAGGTTTTGAAAAGAAACCAGAAAAAAAAAAAAAAAATCAAAGGAACTTCTTTTTTGAGAGGTGGCCACTCACCAAGATTATGTCCTCAATCACTAGTACTGTGGTGCAGGCAGAGATCAGAGCAAGCAGAGTTCAGAGCAATCAATCAGGGGTGTGTGTAAGAGAATGGGTGCAGTGAACAGCTCTGCAAAAACAGGTAGGAAGGATATGCATTTAGAGTGGAGGGGAAGGAAAAGCAGAGGGAGCTAAAATGCTACTTACAGCGTCATCATTTTTGTAAGGATTCAGTCTATTGTAAACAGCTTCAATTACATTCCGCCTAAATTTGAAAAAAATGCAGAAAATTAATTCTTCAGAAAGTACAACAAATGCTTAAAAACTCATAGTCAGGTGTTCATTAAAATTTCAATGGTAATTGTACATGTATAAATCACTTAGTTTCATTTCTATTGTCAATAAGCCAGCCTCACTTTAGGATATTTGTGTACCAATGTTAAATTTGAGGTGAATTTACTTAAAATAAAATAAAAAAAAAAAATGCAGCATCCCACCAACCCACTTTATAGAAGACTGAGAATCATGGCTTAAGGCAATAAAAATCCTCCCCAAATTAACAACAGGCTATATGGTCAACTTCCATTTGAATTAGAGGCTGAGTCACCAATGGCAATGCCAATCTTAAGGCATAAAATAAGTTATAAAGTAGAAGTAACTTCAATGTTATGATAAAAATAATTCACATAAACTTTATGTTTAAATTATGCTTTTCTTAATGTCCCTTTAAAAACAAATTCTATTAAAACCCAAAATGTCAAATTTGACATTCCCATGACAAATCTAGGAATTTGCTTTTGAATAATATTTTCATTAAAAATTCTACAATATCCCTTATAAATTACAGTCTCCTTATTTCCAAAACTGGTTTGAAATAATTTTATAGACAATTGTACAAAGTCATATGAAATGTTTCCAAAAAATAAAAGCTACAAACAGGAACTTTTACAATGATTATTTAGTGAAATGATTGGCTACATTTGCAAAATACAGTGACAAATGAAGGAAATCAGTCAATAGTATATCTTTGTGGGTCAATTATTTGGACAATTGAGGTAAAAATGCTTTAAGCATTTCTTTATAAAACTGCTTGAATTCTCCAATTTAAGTACAGAAATAAGCTTAATATTTACCACAGATCAGTCCATTCTATGAATTAAAGTGGAAAAAGGCAAAAAATGCAACCTCTCATGTTCCCTGATATTCAAACCAACAAACAAGCAATAAATAACTAAAAACAACTGCGAAAATGAAAGATACATGATTCAGATGGTGGAAGAGAAATCTTTGGGGTGTTAAGTTTGTCTAGGGATTGACAAAATAAAATTACATTACTACTAATAATAACAGATTTTAGTAGTGCCATGTAATTGAGTCACAAATATTTTTCACCTATATTATCTATTCTCTATGAGAAAAATCAATGTCACATATCTTCCACTAAAGACAATCTTCAGCATAATAAATTACAAATAATAGTATTCTAGTATCTATTTCTAAACAAGCATCAAATATCCTTTACACTAAAATATGGACTCCACAGGTTAAATATTTTGAAAACATAGGTAAATACGTTACTTTAAAAATTAGCAAATATACACTGGATCAAAGAACACATAACATTTTCATATACTGACAGAAAGCCTAACACTGTGAAGAATGTAACTTACTTGCTTGCCAATTCACCCCCTGGTGGGAGGCTGGGGATGTTCTCACTTGCTAATGTGCGCATCACATGGACTAAGTCGGGGACGCCTTCTCCCTGCTTCTTTATGATTTCTGGGAATCAGAAGTACTTTTTTTGTAAGTGTTATCCAAATTTAATTAATAAAAAAGACTGAAACAAAAATAACTTAAGGTTCTAAAGATGGCATTTACCATATCTGAGATATTCTAAACTGGTATATCATTAAAACAAAAAAAATCAAACTGACTTTGAAAATTATGACAAAGGGATGCACAACAAGATAAAAGTGACTTAACTTCAAAGAATGTAAACAATCAGATAAAAACGTAAAAATAAAAAAATATTTCATGTTAAATTAATGTGTTACATAATCAGGGACATGTGTGTACAAATGAAGATATCCTTTCTTAGGATGCCAACTAGTTACTTCTGAGGAGGATCAACTCCTCTCTTTAGACTGGATACATATTTTCCTGAACTTTGTCCTGTAAAATACATTACATGAATTTAAAAATAAATAAATAAACAAAAATTCAAGAATTCAAGAGTTGAAAAAATTAATCTTTAAGTATGGGAAATTTATTGATCACATACTAATCCAAATCATTTGTACATCATATATTTATATTTGCAAAATGATACTGAAGTAGCATGCACATTAGGTTATATACTTGAACATCACTCTCGGCTCAATTTTTCTTTAAAATATCTTTGACCAATGTATAGATACATAATACCATTTCCTTCATTGATTACTTGAATGGAAACGGTCTAAATTTCATGACAAATTTTTTTAAAAAAGAAATATAATAAATGGCACTACTGCATGTAAAATAATTTCAAAACATTCAATGGGTATAGCAGTGTTATGCAGATGCATTGTTTTTTTAACCACAGAATATCAAAAACTATGAACAAAGAAGAACCTTACAAAGAACTCTAAAACTAAGTATAGAAGTATTCACTTGGAGTTTTAGTACACTTATTTAGTCTACATGCAAAGTCAAGCCAAAGCTTTTTGTAGGTTATATGTTAAAGTTTTGTTCAGTTTTTGTTTTTTCAATGTTTATAGCAAAACAATATTTTCTTTGTCTTTACTGGGCAAGAAATTATCATTTTAATTCTTCATTTGTAAATACCTTAGAAAATAACAATGCATATAAAGATCTTTCATCCTTTGATCAGGCCTCAAAATATTAATTCATCATAAAGGCACATATTAAAAGACAGACATTGCTACCCATAAAATTTCTTTAAATGGCTCAAATTTTCCTTTTAGAATAAAGATCAAAATTTACCATCTATTATTTTTGCCTTTTTTTTTAAACCAGTCTTAAGTCTGAACAAAAAGCAAGGATCTCAGATTTGGTTTGCCAAGTTCCTTTATTGTGTAATCTTTAACATCTAATATTATTTATTCTACATGATTCTATTGCTGGAAATCTGCTATACAAAAATAAAGGGATTTGAAGTTTACCTAAGCTACACAATTTCACAATCTAAAACTATAATACACTTAACATACAGTCTCTACTAAGCCAATACAATTATGTAGATAGATAACTAGATACAAAGAAATGAACATTGATGATAAATTCAACCATTGATGGTTTCAGGTCTTAAAAAACATTACTTTGAATCGTCTATATTTGATGTATCTTATATTTTTGTTAAAATGTAAGTTAGGAAGTTTTAACTATGAAGGAAAATTACAGGAAAACAAATTCTTTTTTTTTTTTTTTTTTAATAATGAAAGGCTTTAAAAATAGTTAATATCTCGTATTCCTGCATGGGATAATCCATTGAAACTACCTGAACATTAATACTACACTAGCCTTGTTTCTTTCTGTTTTTAAAAAAGAAAAAGAAATGAATTTTAAGAAATATTCCTTTAATTGTTCTTGGACTATACATTTTAATTAGAACTGTAAAAAAAACTGAGTGCTTTTTATAGAGAATATATATGTATAGAATTATCCATGTTTCATATACATATGTACAAACACATTCTTCTTTCCACCCCCTTCCATCAAGTTTGAAGGATTCTATTAGTTATATTCAAATTAGCAATTTTAAATCTCAGATAGTCAGTAGCAAAGTTTTTAAAAATATAGACACATTAAGTATAATTTTAAATTGGCTTAGAAAGACCACAAATTTAATAGTAGTTTGATTAAATAATGTGCTGAATCCTTTCACACCCCATTCAAGTATTTAGAAGGACATAAATAATAGAAGAAAGAAGAATCTAAAAAGCTTTGTCCTTTACTATGTTGTGGACATTAATGCCAAAAATGTTGAAAGCAAATAAAATCAGATTTAGTAGGGCACAATGATTTAGTCAAGGCATATATTTAAGGAAAGAGAGGGGGGAAAAAAAGGTATGTTGTGCCTATTTTGAAAACTGAATGTAGTATTTCTTCACTTAAGACACACAACATCTTTCACAATGCAAACAGTTACATTCTATGTCTTTAAATAGCAGCAGTTTTTAAATTAATGTAATATTTATTCTCTAGCTGCAGTCTCATCAAATCTACCTAAGAATATCATATTTATGACACATAATCTCCAATTAAATAGTACAAGTTTTAACACTTCAACATGTCAAAATATTGAGTATTAATGTAAACTGTCCAGTTGGCAACTCTTGCTCGATAATAGTTAATAAAAAACTTAATATTCTAACAAAATTATATCAAGTGAATACTTCATAATTAATCAAAAATTTACTTTAGAGAGTACACACTGAAAAGCAGCATTTCTAAGATTTGATCTCTTTCATGGTAAAAATAGTAAAGTACTTATTTCTTTAAATTAATAAAAAGCCTGTATTCCCAAGTTACTTTAAAGTGCTAAAACATTAAAAACCAACTTATCCCTATACATACTATAGTTTCATATTTTCCCACTAATCAGCAGTTTAAGCCGATGACTTCATAGCATTCTAAATACTTATTTTACTGTGTTATCTATAAATAACTTATATTGAAATTATTAATTTAAAACATAAAAATTCCAAAACTCTTGGTAATAGTGAGGAAAAACTGCACTGAATAGTTTGTCCAATGAATGAAACACTAAATAGTACAAACACAGACATTATCACTATCAAGTAGAGGAAGGCAATAAAAACAAAATAGTAGTTCTAGACAGTACTAAAAATCAAAATTAAGAATATCATATATCACGACTCTAATATCAGCCTGATTATGACTGATATCAAACAGAAAAAAGTAAACAAATTAAGGAGCATACTTATTTTAATAATATAGGCACTGTGGGATATAACAGTGTGGTAGGTCAATGTTTGCATGCCATTAGAAGTCTTTAACATGCAAATTAGTGACATCAGGAGCCCAAAATGCACTTTTTACAATAAATCATATCAAGCTTTTCTGCTTATAGAAACTGCATTATCTATATGCTTATTATATGTATGCAGTAAATTAAATTCTCTGAGGAGACAATGTTTACACTAAGTAGTAGCTGCATCCAAGATTAAATTTTAAAAAAAAAATTTTTTTGGTAGTTGTAGATGGACAGAATGCCTTTATTTTATTTTTATGTGTTGCTAAGGATCGAACCCAGTGCCTCACACATGCTAAGCAAACGCTCTGCCACTAAGCTACAACCTCAGTCCCCGCAAGATTAAATTTTTCAAATATTTAAAGGCATTGTACTTGAGAGGTACAAATACTTTTCTATTTGTTTCAAGATAATTTGCAGAATTATAAAAAAAAATATATTCCTGGAATTCCTAACTTATTCTGTATTTTATTCAGTGGTTACATTTCTGCTAGGTAGAGAAATATGTCTTCTATTCTAGTCTACCTTATTTAGGTGAGACAGTTTATGGCTTAGACAAGAAGCCATGAAACAGATGAAAACAAAAATTTAAAAGCTCTGGCATATGAACACTGTTAATTACCAGGTTGTGACCTTCAAGTTATAAAACAAAACAAAACCAAAAATTTCTAGGGATTTTAAATTAGCATACACAACTATTCACAGAAAGATGTATATAACAAACCACAAATCAGAATTTCCTGGCATTAAATTACTATGCCAGTGAAATTTTTCAAGAATTTTAGAGCCCACAACATTTTAGCCTTTTGAAACAAAAGTATCCTGAACAGAATGTATAGACTAGCTGCTATTTCTAAAATGTGAAGGACAACTGCATACATACTTCTAAAATCTACTACAGAATGCCCTTTCTCATTTTTGCACACTAAAAACTAAATGTTAAAGGCATATAAAGTTCTAAAAGCTAAAATGTTAAAGTTTGTGTTGAAGGTTTTTCTTTAATAAAGCTACTTATTTTTTGTTAAATGATCCACCTTCTACTCTGCATTCCAGGTACTTGTCCAACTCTGCCTCCTTCTTCACTGCTTCTGGTGATACTTTGGGTGCATTTGGAAAACAGATCAAAATCACACTCATGTTGTCTCGACTTCCCTAGGAAGAAAAATTTGAGAAAAATTTTATTTCCTTTTTCCTTTCAAAGCCTTGAGAATCTTTACAGCTATGCCAATTACAGTTACACTTATTCTAGTGAAAATGTTATTTTTAAGAAAAAAAATATGTATATTGGGGAAGGCAGTTGCCCTCATATAGCACATTAAATGTACAGTATAATCAACCCGCCAAAAACCAGAAAAGAAACATAAACAAAAAACAGAAAATTCTATAAAGCAAAATTACTTCTAAATATTTACTAGTGACTTAGTTAACTTGAAGTGATACCTACACGTACATTCAGAAACATCCACGTTTACTCCATACATCATGGCAGAAAATGCTAGTGGTATTCTTTACAATTAGGATTTGGCCTATACTTAATATGTATATTTGACAAATTTACATGTAAAATAATCACAAGTTTTGGGGCTAACACATTTGCTTCCTAAGTAGAAATATGGAATTAGAAGTAAAACTATATATATAAAGTTTATACAGCAGTTTTCAACCCTACTTAAAAAACTGACAGGGGCTGGGGTTGTGGCTCAGTGGTAGAGCTCTTGCCTAGTATGTGTGAGACACAGGGTTCAATTCTCAGCATCACATATAAATAAATAAAGATCCATTGAAAACTAAAATATATTTTTTAAAAAACTGACAATTTAGGAAGTACATTTATTTTTAAAGGTATCTAAGTATTCAAACTGCTGTAATTAAAACACTTGATGTTGCCTTCCCTACATCCTCCTTCCTATTAGTTCTTGGAATTAAAAGTATTTAATTCAGCTAGATGGAAAAGTGGACCTTAAAGCATTAACCCACAAACAATACAAACAAACTAATATTAGAAAGACAATCTTAGAGGAAAACTACAAATAATTCAACCAGGGATTGAATTCAGGGGCACTCAACCACTGAGCTACATCCCCAGCCCTATTTTGTATTTTATTTAGAGACAGGGTCAGAAGTTGCTTAGTGCCTCACTAAATTGCTGAGGCTGGCTTTGAACTTGGAATCCTCCTGCCTCACCCTCCTGACCTGTTGGGATTACAGGCATGCGCCACCATGCTGTGGCTCAAATAATTTTTTAAAGTAGAGAAGAATACAAAAGAAATAAAGTAGAATCTGAGTCATAATTTACTAATTATCTAACAATTCTCAAAAAGTTTTAAATTTAGCTAATAAGCACTTAATTTTCAAAGAGAATGCTACTTTCATGAACACTAAGTGACAACACATGCACCTTAAATCATTGTTCAGTCCCACAATTGAGAAAGTGACAGCATGCACTATGAAGTTTATACTCTATTGCCTTCTGTGTTGGATATTATATAAACCTGATTTCTAAGTGCAATCAGATTTTAGGATTTTAAGTTGAGTGTCATGACTGTGTGCATATAAAGCTACAAAGAATTTTTTGTTGACTTTTTATTTCTGCATGTTAAAAGAAAATCAAACATATACCCTCAGAGAGTTTTATAAAAATCAATATTTGTTTCAAAAAATATATCAAAGAATGAATTAATGATCATTACCAACAAAATAGAAAAAAAGTGTGGTACAAAGAACACTTAACCTAAGTCAAGGACCTAGATTTCTAGTTTTAATACTGTTACTAAATTATATAATCCTGTAGAGGTCGGTTATAACTTCTCTAGGAAAGGAATCAACATTAACTGGGTATATATTATATGCTAGATTAGGTAATTATGTGTGCATGTGTGTTTATTAAAGTTCCCAACGGTCCTATGAATTAGATACTATTATCTACATTTTATAGCTGAGAGAGATTGAACAATTTGTTTAAGACTGAAGAGTACAAAAATAATGGAGGTAAGCCCTGATTCTAATTCTCTTTGACTTTCAGTCTGCAGAACTTTCTCTGGTTTAAGCTTCCTCAACTTTAAAATAAAGGGACTAAGCTAGCTTGTCTACGCATATCACATTCAATCCTCCCAACAACCCACGAAACAGGGTAATAGCTGTCTTTACAATTAAAAAAACAAAACAAAACTGATTTTCCAGAGAGTTTAAATAGCTTACCTGAAGACATACATGATCCTATAAGTTTTTCTGACTTTATGTGCAAGGCCATATCTATTACTACACCAAATAACCACTAAAGTCCTTGTTGATGATTCAGATTCATTAAACAATAGATGCAAAGTACTTCCATAAATGTACTGAGGTATCACATGGTAAAAATACTAAATATTCTAAAAAGCTTTTCATTTATAGATACTGAGGCCTAACCTTCCCACTCTTGCTCTTTTAAAACACATAATTCAAAATAATCTTTCTACTTTTGATAATCATCTACATTTTTAAAAAGCTTAAGTAATCATGGTTAAAGACTAAATATTTAGATTATAACTCTTGCATATATGGTAATTGGTTAATCTATTTCTAAATAAAAATAGATTATTTCTTTTTATTTAGAAATAGATTAACCAATTACCTATGTTGTCACTCCTATATTTTCATAATTGGTAGATTACCTTGCAATTGTGCCACAAACTTATTTTTAAGAACTACAGGCTCTAAGATGATTAAATGAGAGTAGTAATTAATATGACATAAAATCATTTCATGTTTTAAAAAATAAAGTCAAGCTACCTTATACAAACAGGTGTCGACTACTTCATTGCAAACTTTCTCAAGATCATCAGTGACTTCAAGTCTGGATCTTACAAAATCACAGAGCTCTTCATTTCCCATAACATCCCAGATACCATCACATGCAAGAATAATGAACTGATCATCTTCTTCAGATCTTTCAATATCATGAACTTCAGGCTCTGGTGAGACAAGCTGCTCTGTAGGACCTTTTCCATGGACACATTTGTAATCAAAATCCCCAAGGGCCCTTGATACAGCCAGAGAACCATTCACACGCTGAATCATTACAGAGCCACCTGCATTCTGAATTCGTTCTTTTTCCAGCGGATTACTTGGTTTATGATCTTGTGTGAAGAAGTGAACTTTCCTGTTCCTACAAAGTAAACCTCTTGAGTCTCCACAGTTAATGAAATAAGTATGTTGGGGAGAAATTAAGACACCCACAGCTGTTGACCCACTTCTATCTGCACCATGTTTCTTCTCTGACATAACTCTCATGTGTTCATCAATTTCCAGAAAACCTGTTCTGATTCCATTCTTTACATTTTCCACAGAAGGTGCTCCTGCAGACCCTTTAAAATCCTGGTTATTGGTGATGTGATCTAACAAATGCTCACAGCAGTATTTGGCAACCTGAGAACCAGCATGCCCATCATACACAGCAAAGAATGACCATGTTTCAAGTCCACTTGGCAAACCGATCACAGCCGTATGTGCATCCTCCATTTCAACTCGCCAACCTTGCATGCTGCTTAGCCCATATCGCAACCCATTACCCTGCCCCTGGGCATTATGCTTTTCCATCTTTGGCTTGTCTAAAAATGCTCCCATTATGTCTTGATCCTCTAGGTCTGCAAAGGAAGAGAAACAGGAAAGTCAGTTAACTGCCTTATAAGTAAAATACATGTCCAACAATCTTTTTTTTTTTTTTAAGGGTGAAGCAGGGAGGAAAAAAAAAAGGTAAAAGAGAAAGAAAGCTTTAAGAATTTACAACTCTTGTTGTAAACGCCTGGTGTAGTGGAAAGCTGACTCTAAGGGACAACCACTTGAGGTAGAAAGGAGACCTGGCAGTAGCCATCAATTTATATGAATCAGGTCCAGCATTTATAAGGACACATTGAACATTTGCAATCTTAAAACTAAGTTGTATGTAGGTCAATTAAGGAAAACTAAATGAATTTATAGTGCATACAAAGGCCTACTAACTCAAACATCTTAATTGAACATTCAGGAATTTCCAAAGATTAATTCCAAACTATCTAGTTTTATTCCCATTATTTATAAGCCCTCTGAAAAAGCAAAAAATGATCTACTCACAGTGCTTCAAAATTTTCATGTTCCTTGCATTAAGCCTTTGCACATGCCATACCCTTTAACTAGAATCTCTTACCTCTCTACTTACAGAAAAAAAAAAAAAAAACCATACCCATTCTTTAGAATTTAGTTCAAATTCTACCTCTTTTGTGATATTTTTCAATCTTTCAGAAAGCCAATGAATTACTACTATAAATGGTCCAGCCTCAATTTTCAAGTTGCAAGCAATCATGCATACAAACGACAAAGCTTATTATATATAGCAAAATTAGATTAATTTCATTCTATTATTCTCATGGTAATATGTATCGTTATTATGCTCTATGACCATTAGGTATAAGTTACAAAGGAGATCAAAGGGTCCAGTGACAACCTTGCTGAGAAGCTTAAAAACTTGGCTAAACCTTTCCCAATATTCATGAATTAACCCCCTGGTATGGAATAGGCCTACACAAGAGAGACAGTTGGTCAGAAATTTAGGTTGACCTTACTTCAGTAATAGCTTAGAAATGTAGAAATTTGGGATACAAGTGATCAAATGAGCCACAATTAAACTAAAGGCAATCTGAAAGAAGGATAGAATAATGAAGAGAGAATGAAGATAAAGAAGAAACAGGGGAAAAGTACCTAAAAGTCAATCAGTATGTGGCTCTGTGACTAGGGGATGGATGGTGATAGTAATGCTAAACTCAGAGAGAAAGAAGAAAATCCTTCAAGGAAGGAAATAAAAACATTTAGTTTTCCAGCTACCTTTCCCCTTCCTTTTTCCTCCAGTTTATCTACTCCTTTGCCTCCTATTAAGACTCCACTAATGGAAGGTAAATAATGAAAACTAGCTATCATGTACCCTTTATGAGTGGTATTTATGAGATTACTTTTCTGACCAAGGTAATATACATTAATGCAAGGGTGAATATTTTGATTGTAGAAAGGATAATTTAAGAATGCCACCTTATTAGCAGACAATGTTTAATAAGAATTCTAAATCACTATGGTGTTTATAAACATTACCTTATTTAATTCTCAACAATTTTCTAAGGCAGTACTTATGTTAACTCCAACTTATAGATGATATCATTCAACTAAAAAATAAGTATAATGGAATAAGAACTCTCATTCAAATCTGTCTAACTATAAGGTAACATTACTAAGTCAATAGGTCTCAACTCATGGTTGTGCAACAGTGTTATCTGTGGACATTTTGAGAAATAAGAGATTTCCAAGTCAGAATGCCAAACTTGTAACCTAGGTATCTGTATATTTGCAAAACTTCACATGTGACTCTGAGGCACAGCAAGATTGCAGATCATTGGGGGAAAAAAAATCAGATGTAAGGCCTAAGGTACAGAAGATAAGGGAAAAGAGACAAAGGCCAAAGAGAAAATCAGTCACCCTACATTACAAGACACTATTACAGGTTAGAAATGACAATAAGAAATTTGACAGAAGACTCTATCATCTTAAGAAGAAGGGAAAAAAAAAAAAAAAGATACGTGTGAAACGCATTGATTTAAACATGTTTAACAGACAAATCAATGAGAAAGAGCAGAAACAACAAATATTCTTCTCCAAATTCCAAAACAGCTTAAAGTACAAAAGAACACAAGTTATGAAAAATGGGTTTAAGTTTTGGCTCCACTATAATATATGTTATGAAGAAATACGTGTATGTATTTTATCTATCTATCTATCTATCTATCTATCTATCTATCATTACTGGGAATTGAACCCAGGACCTTCTCAAGTGCTCTACCACTGAGCTACATTCCCAAGCCCCTTTTAAAAGTTTTTGAGACAGGTTCTCCCTAAATTGCCCAGGCTAGCCTCGAACTTGTCATCTTTCTGCTTTAGCCTCAGGAGTACTTGGGGCATGTAGTTACAGGCATGTGCCACTGCATCTGGCTTGGCTCTACTACTTCATAACAGTATAACCATAATAATTATATGACAATTTAACTTTTCTGAAACTCTTTCTCCATTTGTGTAATAAGAAGGTACTAATCTTACAGGGTTATTATGAGGATTAAAAATGAAATATTATATATACTTCCTACAGTGTCTAGCATATTATAAACACTAATATAGATGCTATTGTTATTTAATTATTATACTGTTTTTCCCCCCTGCCAGGGGAGGAATCAAGTCATAATAACCTTTATTCCTGGACACTAACTTGGACTACCTTTAAATCAAAAACTTCTGAATGATAAACCTTTTGTCTTTTTATTTATTTATTTATTTGTTTGTTTATTTATTTATTTTGCAGTGCTGGAGATCAAGCCCAAGGAGGGCATTATGTATGCTAGGCAAGAGCTCTACCACTGAACTATATCTCTAGCCCCTGAATGATATCCGATATACTTTAAAATAGACTTTAAATACTTCATTAGCAAATAGAGGAAAGCAAATTTAATACAAGATGCCATTTATGATCCATTTGGCAACATCAAATGTTGGTAAGAGAGGCTGAGTTGTGGCTCAGTGGTAGAACACTACCTCACACCTGTGAGGCACTGGGTTTGATCCTCAGCACCACATAAAAATAAATAAAACAAAGGTTTTGTGTTCATCTACAACTAAAAAAGTACATACTTAAAAAAAAAGTTGGTAAGAATGTTTGGAAACAGGAACTTCCCTATACTAATGGTAGAAAATAGTGAAGTTGAAGATGCACATAAGCAACAACTCAACAATTCCACTTCTAATTATATATATCAACACCAATTTAGTGGTTGTGCGTGACCTACATTTTAAAAAGATGGAATATGGGGCTGGGGATGTGGCTCAAGCGGTAGCACGCTCGTCTGGCATGCGTGCGGCCCGGGTTCGATCCTCAGCACCACATACAAACAAAGATGTGGTGCCTGCCGAAAACTAAAAAATAAATAAATAAATATTAAAAAATAAATAAATAAAAAAAATTAAAAAATAAAAAGATGGAATAGAGTGTATCCTGGATGACAAAGGTAAGTAAATACTATTCTTAAAGTTTTGGTTCCAGAAGTACATTTTGTTTACCAAGCTGAGGTCTATATACTTCTTATTGTGGGTACAGTCAAAAAGTTTAAAATACACTGTTTTAACGAAATCCTCCCATCTGCCTAAGGTGATGTATACAATGATCTTTTTAGAGAACTATAATAGCAAATGTTCATTAGAAGGTAGAACAAACAAATAAGGGAATATTATTAGCAAAACAAATCGAGTTTTGCTAAATTTTCTAAATTTGAGATATTTCTCAAAAATAACAAAAGGAAATACACTGAATTATTCAGCAAAACAATTTTAAATAAATACATTTAAGCAAATATACATATTTGGTTAAAGTGTGAAAAGTGGTTGCAAGCTTCATGACAGCAGGGTCTGTGTGGTTTATTGTGTGCCCCCAGCACTTAGAATGGAGCCTAAAAAACAACAGAAGCTCATTTTTTTGAATTACTAGCTTTTCTCTAGGGAAAAAAAAGAGAATGGCTTCAGGAAAAGGTCCCAAAGGGGGGTTCAACTGTGTATGTAACTGGTGTTTCCTGGGTTTTTAATGACATCCTTTAGTAACACAATCTCTGCTTCACATTTTAGTCTTTGCTTCATCTAAGGTAAATTGAATTCCTCCAAAAGTTAATTTTACTAAGAAGTCAAAAGTATTCAAGGAGCAATCAAGGAACAATAGGGAAAAAAAAAAGTAATAGTAGTAAAAAGCACCCAGGATTCCCTTAAACTTATTCACCTCTAGGTGAGGTAAGATTGGGAGCCTGGATTACTCCCTCATTCTTACTATATCCTGCATCCTCACCACTGAACTCTAGATAATGGTACTAGCTTAGTAATAACATCTAACATGGGGGAAATACTACTATTTAAACACTAAAGTTTAAGTTTTATGTATGTACTAACTTTACTCTTCATACAATCCGAAAGAAACTAAGCTACAGTTCTGTTAAGTCATCAACTGAAGGTCACGGTAAGTTGTTTCTGAGGGATATGGACATCAGGCCCCAGGTAGGGAACTTCCCTTACTGTTTTCCTGCCAGCCCTCCTGCCTCACCCTAAATTAATCCTGCCACCAAAACTCCTCCCATGACCTGGCCCTGCCCACCCATAGGAACTAACTCCTCCCATGACCTGGCTCTGCTAAAACCCTATAAAACCCAGCCCCCTCAGGTGGCCTACCACCATTATCCCTGCCACACCAGATGTGCCCCTCGGGTGCTGAATAAAGCATCATGATCATGAGGTCTGTCTCCATATTCTTTTTCTTTTTGTATTCTCTTTCATGCGCTTTCAGTTTCATTTGTCCCAATTCCCTTAGCTGGGCTTAGGGTGGGAGGGTAGTATTAAGACACTTGATGCCTACTAACTTAGCATCTCTCAAACTTTCTCAACTATACAATGGGTTATTAATACTTAACTCTGGGTGTTGCTGCAAGGTTTAAGTCAGGCAATGGCTGCAAATTAGCCAGAGGGCCTGGCAGAAATGAGGCACTCAGCAAATAGAAACCATGTAATTATTACACAGCTACATCTGGATTCTGATAGAGAC